GATTAAGTACCTGGAAAAAAGGTGGGGAGGGGAAGGGGGTAATTTTAAATTTTGGGTTTTCAAGAGTTTGAAGGAATGATATCATGGCCGCCCGATGAACGTTGACTGGATGTCAATCACGTCACAATCAACCCGAGTGTGGATTTTAAAACGTGGATGGAATCCTCATGGAACTCATTCCAAAAAATTTTTGACGCAGCATCTTTAAGGATCCGTCGATGGTAAAAATCATCTCTGATTCTCATTTATTCAAACGAACGGATTTCATACCGGAGGAAGAGAGAGAGAGAGAGAGAGAGAGAAGATTTATCAAAAATTTGATAGAATGGATGTTTGGTGAATCGAAACGGAACAGGAAAAACGCGGGAAGAAGAAGGGAGAAGGAGGAAGAAAGGAAGGAAGAAAAGGGGAAGAAGAAGGGGGAACAGACAAACAACGGACGTCCAGGAGAAAAAAAAAAAAAATTTTTTTTATTTTTTTTTTAATTATCCGTCGGAGAAATTGTAATTGACGCCAAAAGGGAAAAAAAAAATTCAAATTTATTTTTTCGTTTTCTTTTTCTTCTGCTTTATTTTTTGATGTTTTTATATAAACATAATTAAACGACATTTTTTTTTTTTTTTTTTTTTTTTAATTATCGAAAGGTGATTCGGACGACGGAAAAATGCCAAATTTTTCCCCGTTTTTTTTTTTTTTTTTCGTTATGTTGCCGCGCCGTAAATTTTTAATTAGTTTTAATTACTCGGTAAAAATTTTTTTAACGGTTTTGCGAAAGAAAAAAAAAACCGCGGCGCGAACGACTTCTCTCTCTCTCTCTTTTATATATATATTCTCGCGATGATGCGAAAGAAAAGTGAAAAGAGAGAGAGAGAGAGAGAGAGAGAGAGAGAGAGAGAGAGAGAGAGAGAGAGAGAGAGAGAGAGAGAGAGAGAAAGGGAATTTTGTCGCCCGTTAAAAAATTCACAATTTAAAAACGATTGAGAAAAGTTTTTAAAACGTGACGATGACACTGACCAACATACGAAAAAAAAAATAAAAATAAATGGATGGGCGTGTAAACTAAGCACAACCTAAGACGAAATAATAATAATAATAATAATAATTGTGGTGCACCGCCGCCGTCATCGCCGTCGTCGTTGACGCACCGCCGCCGCACCGCCTTGTTTTTTTTTTTTTAAATTTTATTTACTTTACGATTTTATTTATTTATTTATTTATTTTTCTTTAACTCATTTCGTTACTAATTTTTTCGTCTGCTCGGATTGCTTTTGACTCATTTTTTTTTTTTTTTGTTTTTTCCGTTTGCCAATTTAATCAAAACAAAAACAAAAAAAAAAAAAAAAGAGCAATAAAATTATAAGCACAGTTTGACGTGTGTGCGTGTGTCAGAAAAACAAGAGTGAATTATTGGGAAATCCAAATCTTAAATAATAATAATAATAATGATGATGATGATGATGATGATGATGATAATGATAGTATTTAATTATATACATTTTGGAGAACGTTTTTGGCGCCCGTCAGTCAAATTTATATGAATCATTCTTTCTTTTTTTTTTTAAATTTTACAGCAGAAAATGGTGTGAATCGTTTGTCGTTTGTCGTTTGTATTTTGCGTGATAAAAGATAAAAAAGAAAAAAAGTAAACTCCGACAGACGACGACGACGACGTACCTGGAGAGAAACAAACTCCAACCTCCGCACACATTTTTCACACAGTTTTAGAATAATAATAATAATTACAATGAGTGGCATAAAAAAACTCGTTTGTTGAGTAATTATGCTCGTCAGGTGTATCGGTACCTGCGGATCCTCCGCCATATATATATAAAAAGTTTCTGTCGCTTCGGTTGTTTGTCGTTGACGACACGAGATGGTTTTGGTAAGATTCATTAATTATTAACGTAATGTCATCGAACGCGTGTTTAAAATGGTAGACTTGCCAAAACTTTTTTTTATTAATTGTTATTATTTATTTATTTATTCGAGAGTGATGCCTTAACCATTTTGTGTGACAAATACAAATATATAATACCTGATTAAAAATAAACGGAAAGCGAACAAACAAACAAACAAACAAACAAACAATGGCAACAAACCGTGTTGTATTGCCGGTCCCCGTAGAAAGGGAAAGTCAAAGACTCGTTGAAAAAATATTAAACGATGGATAAACGAATCATCATCAAGTTATTGGCGGAGCCCCACGTTCGAATACGAGGAGTAGGAGGAGGATGATGGGGGGTACGCGCGATTTCTCGTGAGTCACGTTTTATTTGGTATATGTCGGCCCTCCATTGACGGGAGCCCATCAGTTGCGATTCTGGCACGGTTGGACTCGCGCTTGGTCGGATTAAGTGTTTATATTAATTGTTTTGTTTTTTTGAGAAAATTTTACGGGAAAAGGTCGAAAAGGTTACGAGTGTTTTTTTTTTGTGCATGACCCCGTGGGAAAATGAGGATTTTGGAAACGATTACTCCTGATGGGGGTACGATATAATTTTTTTTTTTTTTATTTATTAATTTATTTAGGTCCGACGGCGACAGGGAGATACTTGGATTTAAATAAGTATTAACTGATCGGGGATTCAAAAAGGGGATCCCCAAAATCGTACGAGGTGTTGTCTCCGTCGGGTACCAAAAAACGTCGGCGGTACGATGAGTACCGGAAGGGGTTTTTGATAGTCGTTGATGAAGAAATAATAAAAAAATTCTGTTTTTGTTTTCAGGTGGGAAAATCGGAATGGAAGACATCGTCATAATATCGAGCAACAGGAGTCAAGCTGCTGATTTGTGGGTGACGTACCTTAAAACGTGTTTCGATCAAATAAGGAAAAATCGAAATAAACCACCGTTTAGGTAAGCTAGTACTACTCAATTAAAAAAATATACAAAAAAAGGTAACCTAAAGGGGGAGGGGGAAGTGTGAGGGAACGCGGAAAAAGGGGGACGGGAGAAGAGGAGGAGAAGGAGGAGGGAATTCGGTTTGAAAACGTTGCGAAAAGCGGAAATGTGAAAAATAATATAAAAGAAAAAGAAGAAAATAATGAAAATTTGAAAGCCGGGGAGAGGAAAAAAAGATAAAAGGTAGGAGTCGGGAGAAAGAGAGAGAGAGAGAATATTTACAAAAGGTATTAAATTTTAGAAAAAGGATTTTCCCTAAGAGGAAAAATTTTAATGGAAACGTTAAAACCAGGGATTCGAAATTCGGTGGGGAGTGGGAGGGGCGGGGGCGGTGGAAATTTCAATCCGTTTCCAAAATACGAAAAAACACGAAAAGATTCAGCAACAACAACAACAACACATTCGAAATTTTTTTCTTCTTTTTTCCTTTCCCTCGTTTGTTTTTCTCTCGTTTGCCCGAAAGTAATTAAGATTCGAGTGAAACGGAACAGAAAGTGGCAGAAGAATTTTTAAAACAGAAAAAAAAAAAAAAAAAAAAAACGTTTTCCAAAATATTCATTTTATGCCGAAAGTTTTTTTTTTAACGTTTTTTTAATTTTTTTTTTGAATTTGTTTATAACAAAAAGCGAAAAGAAAGACGACGACGACAACAACAACAACAACAAACAAGAAACAATAAAAAGAGTGAAATTGAGACGTGGAAATTTCCTAAAACGGACGAGATTTTTTTTTTTTTTTATATTTCATAATTAGATTTGACAAAAAAAAAAAAAAAAACTAATTTTTTTTAACGACTTTTTTTTTGTATAGAACGCGTGACGTTACAACAAAATGTCGGCCCCCGGTAGCTATTTACGTATTTAACGGTCGATGATAGAAATAATAATGATTAATTACCCTCTTTTTCTGAGGTAAAAACGCCGCGTGGTGTAAGATGTGCGTAAAAATGATGCGATTTCACTCATGAAAGTAGTTCAAATTATATTACGAGAAACGCCGCGTGATCCGAAATACGCACACAAACCGATAAAAATCGATAAGAGTCTGTAATTTTAAATTTCCCGCCAATTTTTTTTCCCCACCACCGACAGATTAATTAATTTATTATCGATATAATATTTTTCAAAACTTTTCAACGGTTTTTTGTAAGATCGATTGATCTATCGATAGATCGATAAAAATCGATTTTTAACCGAAAAAAAAAAACAAGTTTTACGCCGCGGGTAGGTACGTACGCGTCAAATATTTAAAATGTCGCTTGCACTTGACCGTTCGAACGGAATCTAAACCAGTTCAATCGATAACAACAACAACAAACGTTTCCATTGTTTTAATTTTATTCAAAAAAAAAAAAAAAAAAAAAAACGAATTGTTTATCATTGTTGTTGTTGTTGTTGTTGTTGTTTTCTTTTTCGGTCAAATTAAATTTGGAGCATACGCACGGACAAACGCACTCGCGCACTCACGCACCTTTTCTCTCGTAGTAAAAAAAAAAAAAAATTTTTTTCATAATTGTTTTCCGAAGAGTTGCAATCGTTTTGTACCTGTTGTTTATCTCATACCTGTTTGTTCGACGGATTCATTTTCTTTCACCTCAAAAATTTTTTTTTTGAAAATCCGACGTTTATCAATTATCATCGCTTCCATGCCGCGTTTATTACAGTCATTACAAACTGAAAACAAAAACAAAAAAAAACTTTCTATCGTTTCCAGTAAAGAATAAAATTTAAATTTTTTTTTGTTTTGTTTTTACTTCACTTCCGGTTTCTTTTTTCTTTTTTATTCGTCCGCCATTTACAATGGATTACAATGTTGTCGTTGTTGACGTTGTTGTTGTTTGTAATATTGGATTTTTATGTAATTTTTTCGCGGTAACGAAATTCGGCAACGGTGGCGGCGGCGGGGCGGAGGGGCGCGAACCGGAAGGAAGCAGGTAGTAATTTGGGAAGCACGTGTAATAAAATTCGTCAAAAGGGCGCGTCAATCGTATTTAAAAAAAATGATGATGATGATAATAATAGATAATGTTTCGCGCGACGAAATAAGTCAATAATAATAATAATAATAATAATAATACTTTCTCCAATTTTCGATTATTAATGACATGGAGTCGTCGCGTAAAGTTTTAAAAGAAGGAAGGAAGCATTATTATTATTATTATTATTTTTTTTTCGTTTTAGAATATTAAGAATAGAGATAGAAGACTTTGGAAACTCTGGAAGTTCGTTGATATCCGCACTCGAAGAGAAATTACAAAATGCCAAATTAGTTATATTTATAATCTGTCCAGTTTTTCTAGAATACGTCGGTTCGTTTCCAGAACATTGTTCGATCGTTTGCCGTCAGATACGTCCGGATGGAGCTTTGGCTATGCTTTTAGGTATATCCGAATCTACGATAACGGACGATCACAAAACAGGTACGTACATAATAATAATAATAATTTTGTGAATAAATTTATTTATTTGACTTTGTTCGACGATGATGTTCGATGATGAACAAATTTTCAGCTTTGGTTAATTACACTCACTGGAAAAGGATGGAATCCGTCAAGGATCGAGATGAGAAATTCGTCGGTGATTTTTTAGGTGCCGCCATGGATATAATATCTAAAAAGATAACGCAAAACAATCAGCCGACGGAAAAGGGTAGTTTTATGCTCATGCCAAAGAAAGTTAACAAGGTAAAAATTATTATTATTATTAATCGATAAATCGATTAATCGATCGATCGATCGAACGGTTTATTTACACGCGCGCGGAAAAGTTTTTATTTTTCCAACCCCCCCCCCCGAAAAAGTGATTTTTTTAAAAAATGTTTTTATCAATTTCGATTTATCATTTCTGTTTTCGAAATTGAGAGAGACTGAGAGAGAGGGATTGAAAAAGAGAGAGAGAGAGAGAGAAAGATGATGAACGAACGGGTCACCATTTTGTTTTGACCTTTGTTAACACGCTTTACTTTCCGACGATCGAAATCGTTTTCGTCATCGTACTTATAAACAAACGTTAAGTAATGTTTGTTGACGATTTTACGTTTGTTTGTTTGTTTGTTTGTTTGTTTGTTTTTTTTTTTTAAATATATTTTTAGTTGGGATTCCAAGAGTTTTTTTTTTTTAATACTGATAATTAATTACGTAAAATATTTTTTTTGTAAAAAAAAAAAGAAGGTGTGTTTGTTTAATTTGTTTTCCTTCATAGAAACAAACGATACAAACGCGCACTTCCTCACTCACTCACATACAAAAGAAATCCGGAGACTGACGACAACAGAGACGACGCCGCCGAATTAAATCAACCCGAACGGGGAGGGGGGGGCGTTTTTTCTTTTGTATTTATAAATAAATAAAAAAAACAAACGCCCGATGGTTTCATTCACTTGTTTTCAATGAAACGAAAGAAAAAAAAAAAAAGTTTTTTTATTTTCCACAGAGTCAAAACAAGGTATTGATTTTACTTAACGAACCAATCACGAAAGAAGATGTGATGACGGTGACAATGATAAGAAACAACGAAGTTTTCGAAATACCATCAGTGAAAAAAAGAAATCCCTACACTCTCATATTTAGAATGCCGGAAGAATTTTTGACGGTGTCACTGTTGGTGACGATACGGGTCGAAAGGAACGGCGTGGATTTGGGTACGAAATTGTTAAAATGCGAAAGTCAACTCTATGCCATGGCTCAAATATTGAAATCATGCGACAGCCCCATCGAATTCATGTGTCAGGTAACGTGAAGGAGACCGTTGGGGAACAACCCGAACCCGTTCGCTAACCCCCGTTCGTTCGTGAATTGATTCGTATTCCTTTTCCAGGCTTTGAACATTGTTCCATGCGACAAAGAAAAATTAGACGATATTCTCATGTCGTCCTTTCAAAGAAACGTTCCGCCTAATTTTAATATATTACAAACGTCGGGATTCGGACAACTTCACAGAGGTGTCATAAGTGAGTAATAATCCGTTTGTTACTGTTTGTTTGTTTGTTTGTTTGTTTGTTTATTCACCTTTAAGGAAATGAGTGTATTCCGATACGTGTTCGATTCGTTTTTATTTTATTTTATTTTTCCCCCCGCAGTCAAAGATGAATATCCTACTCTACTTCATTTCGCCGCCCGTTTTGGACTAGAAAAACTATGTTGGGTATTATTGGAATGTCCCGGAGGTGAATTAGCATGCGATATACGTAACGTGTGCGAACTCACTCCCTCCGAAATGGCCGAAAATGCGGGTCACACAAAATTGGCAAACGCTCTTTGCGGTTACATGGTAACGTATTTCAGTAGTACCTTTCATCTATCTCTCTTTAACTCTCATCCCTTTCTTTTTCGGTGACGTAATTTTTTTTTTTTTTACCCCCCCCCCCGTTGTAGCAAATGACTGAATTCACGAGCGTTTACACATTCATTAAAGGAATGGGAAGCGAAAAAAACAATAATAATAATAGCAGTAAATCAGGTACGTAAAACGAAACCGACGGTGACGATGGGGGAAAATAAAAAAATTTTTTTTTTTACCCGATTTATCTTTTTATTCAGATAGCAGCGATGATTATTTGAATCCCAGGCCTCTGAGCGAAACCTATCAGGTACCCCCGTCTCCGAGACCTCTGGCACAAATTTATTCTCATCCCCCGTTCGGTTACATGCAAATGCAATCTCCGAAATCCAGTTCATTGAGTTCGTCGATATCCGATTCGCCGGATATAGGTAAACATTTACGTTAGGGGTGGGTAGGGGAGGGGGAAGGGGAGGAAAACGAAGCGGAAATTAGTCGTTCGGTTTTCCGAATTTACAAAAATAAAAATTTTCTTTTCACTTTTCCGAACAGGAAGAAATTTGTGTTCGTCGAAAGAAAGACTTTTGTATAGGAAAAACAGCGACGACAGCCTTAAAAAAACAGGAGACGGTGGTGATAGTCATCATCATCATCTCAACCACCTCCATCATCATCATCAGTTCAGGAGTTTAAAAGAAAATGGCGGTAAAGGCATACAAGACGAATTGATTGAAATAATAAACGATTTTAAAAATAACGTATTCACGATATCGGAAGTTGAAAAACTCGTGGAAGACTGGAGAAATAGAAACGACGTTCAACAGTCGTTCAAAGAAAAACAGGTACCTCCTGGAAATTATAATCGGTAATTTCGTTACGTTTCTTATTGACGCCGCCATCTCACATTCTTCGTTTTTTTTAAAAGGAACAACTCAATAAAATGAGAGAAGAATACGAACGCGTTCAGCAAAAGTTAAAAGAAGACATGAAACAAGTCGGACGTCCATCACCGCTGGAAAGAATTCGGAAATTTTTCCGCGGGAAAACCAAAGATTCGAAATATTCGGACGAGTCGCAAGAGAAAGATGGCGAAAATTCTTCCCTCCACCACAGGCCATCGAGCGGATTAAGTCTTCAAAGTTCGAATAGTGAGTAAAAAAAAAAAACGTTTCCGCGTCTAAATCGCTAATGACACGTTAAAAAAAAAAAGTTTTTACTTTTATCTAATTACACTTAAAGTGAGAGAAAAAGTTATTGTTCCGCACGATTTGAATTTTAACGTAGTATCATTATTATCATCATCGTGGATTTAATAAATTTTTTACGCCGGTGAAAGAATTATTATTATTATTAGGAAATGAAATTCCAGTCGGTCGTCCATTTTTGAATTTTTTAATTACCATCTGAAGATATCATCGAGTTCTTGTTTCGTGGCAGCAACAACAACAACTTTTACCGAATCAAAAACAAAACCGTTCGGTTTCAAAATTTATTATTATCGTTTCAGGTTCGTCGTCGTCGTCCGGACGTTTGAGTACGGGAAGTCACTGCAGCGGAACGAGTTTGGGCGACAGCGGAACGCATTCGGACACGGAATCCGAACGTAAAATTCGTTCGTCGCCATCGAACGGATTTTGTCATACGTACAAAGCCAAAGAAATTTTAGAAGATTACGACGTTCCCCCGCCGAATCCCATATGTTTCATCAACAACAACAACAACAGCAGCAACGGTGGGAACAACAGCGGGAACAACAAACAAAAATGTTCTGCTACAAACGGGATATTGAATTACGACATTCCGCCACCGTCGCTCACGTTGAGCGATTACAGTTTCAAACAGAATTGGGATAACGAATCTTGCATATCGACGGATTCGTTGAACGCAACAAACAAAGTCAATTATTATAATTTGTTGGGGAAAGACGTGGCAATAGCGCCAAATCAATCGACTTTGCATTCTCGTTTGGCAAAGGGTCCGAGTAAAAATTCATTGAAATCCGTCGAGGAAAATAACAAGAAGACTGATGATAATAATTGTTACGAATATATAAATTTACCGAGTTTGAAAGCTGACGCCGACGTCGATGACGTCAACGACGGGGAAACAATTTTGGGAAAATCGGAATGCGAAAGGAAATTGTTGTTGTCGCGAGAGGATAACGATGATGAAGAACTCGAGAGGAATAGAAAAAACGTCGATGTCAATGACGTCAACGATGACGTCGACGATGACGACAATCGTTTACCCGATTACGTAAACGTCGAAAACGGAGTGAAATGATGACGAGGGGAGGGGAGGGAAGGAAGGGGAGGGGAAAGGAAACCTCCAGGTTTAAACGTGTCCGCCTCCTTTAACACAACAAGAAAAGTTTCTACGTGCCAAAGGTTGTTTGTTGCAAACAAAATATCATCAATGCAAACAACCGTTTGTTCGTTTGTTTGTTTGTTTGTCCATCAATTATACACAAAAAAACATTTTTTTTTTCCTTACAGCCGTTTATAATTTCATATATGTAAACCATACATTAAAATAATAATAATAATAAATTATATAATTTAAATTTTCTTCGGTTAAACCTATCACAATAACAACCGACGGAGAAATTTATAAAAAATAATTAAAAGGTCAAAGGTTAAATTTAAAAAAAAAAAAAAAAATCATTTTTACTTATTATTATTATTATTATTATTATTATTATTATTCAATTGAAACAATATTGAAATGCAAAAAAAAAAAAAAAATTAATTAATTAATTAATTGTAAGTCATGTATCTCGGAGTGGATGAAAATTTAGCATAGGATTTAATGACTTTATTAACGGCTTCTAAGAAATCTTTTTCCGTCGCGACTTTTCTTCTCGCTCTTATCGCAAACATTCCGGCTTCCGTGCAAACCGAACGTATTTCCGCACCTGGAGAAAAAAATGGAGAAAAATTTTATTATTAGTTATTTTTTTAACCGAAAGATGTCGGTGAGGTAGGTCGTCACGTGACTCACCCGTGCTGTTGGGACAAAGGCGAGCCAACAATTCAAAACGTATATCTCTTTCGACGCTCATGGATCTCGCGTGAATTTTAAATATGTGAGTCCTTCCCTCCAAATCGGGTAAACCGAATTCGACTTTACGATCTAATCTACCTGGACGCATGAGTGCCGGATCCAACGTGTCCGGTCTATTGGTCGCCATTAATACCTGTTAAGAGAGAGAGAGTGTTCGAATGTAAACTAAAGAAATTTAAGAAGAATTTCGAAAGAGATTTGTCAAGAATGGGTACTCGAAATCATCTTACTTTAATGTTTCCTCTAGGATCGAAACCATCCAATTGATTAATTAATTCTAACATTGTTCTTTGTACTTCGTTGACACCGCCTGAACCATCGTCGAATCTGGCACCACCGATGGCATCGATTTCATCGAAAAATATAACGCATGCTTTTTTACTTCTCGCCATTTCAAATAATTCTCTAACCATTCTAGCACCTTCTCCAACATATTTTTGTACCAATTCAGAACCTATGACTCTTATGAAACAAGCATCCGTTCTGTTGGCAACAGCTCTTGCGCATAATGTTTTCCCCGTACCTGGAGGTCCGAATAGTAAAACTCCTTTCGGGGGTTCAATTCCCAAATTGACAAATTTTTCAGGATGTAGTAAAGGAGTTTCGACAACTTCTCTTAGTTTTTCTATTTGTTCTTTACATCCTCCTATATCACTATATGTCACATCCGGTTTTTCTTCGACTTGCATCATTGTTACTGTCGGATCTATTTTCGGAGGTAGGGGAATATGAATTTGATATTTATTCCTATCGACTCTGTTATAAAAAGAATAATAATATTGTTCTGCCATGATTTAATTTAAAATGAAGAAAAAGGTTTTGGTGGTAAAAAAAAAAAAATCAGACATACCCGACTCTCATTCCTTCTTCGATATCTGTCGGAGCGACAGAATCAGCCAAGTCGACGACAAATTTAGCAAATTGTTTAACATTAATTATATATTTAGGATTATCAGTATCTGCATTTATGATTTTTGTACATCTTGCAACTTGAAGTGGTTGTTCATTTTGTAACGCTTGTTTGTCTGCAGCTAAATCCCATAGAGCAGGAGGTGCAAGACCAGTATCAGATTCTTTAATTCCAGTTAATTCATTAACTCTTTTTATAATACTCTGAATATCTTCTTCAACTTGTTTAATAGCTTTAGAATAATGTCCCTGTCCATAACTTTTTAATAAAGCTATGTCTGCTTCATCCAAAGCTAAAATAACCAAAAATAAATTTTTTTTTTTTTTAAAAAGCACAATGATGGTGTGTAACTCATTAGATAAAAAATTACCTTTAATTTCCTTCTCTTCTTTTTCATCTCCTTCTTTAGTTTTTCTCATATCATTTCCCAAATAATCAGGCATTTTGAAAAATGTATTTTTTATGTTCTTTTCAAAAAAAAAAAAAATAAAATGACAATACAAAAATCAAAAGGAGTATTAGTAAAAGTTTAACAACGTTGCTTTACAGTGTTGCCAAACGTTATTTTTTTGTAATTCATTACATAAATTTTTTTTCAAAGTAAAACAAAATGGTTTTATATATTTTAATGTTTTGTTTAAAATAATAAAAGAATAATATTAATTGAGATAAATCAATAAAATTTAATTTAATTTAATTAAAAAAAAAAAGGATTGAGAAGGAGCCGCGATGACTAGTGACACGACAACACTGATTCAGGTTTTTTGAATGAAGAAAGTGACACTGTGAAAAGATGGCTGCTGGTTGTTGTGGAACAAAGAAGCAAAAATTAAATAATAATTCTAGTAGTTTAACGTGCAATGGAAATTCGGTGATACAAAACGGATTAAAAAATAAAATGGTTGCTCATCCCGAAATGTGTTATTTCTGTTTCGATGTTTTATATTCTCATCTTAACAGTTTAGAACCACCAAAGACACCAAATTTTAGCAACGATCCTTAGTAAGTAAATTCTTTGTTACAAAAAAAAAAAATTTCTTTTTAAATTATTTGATCAATTTTTTAGTAGGAACTAGAAAGGGGGGGGAGGAGGGAAATTATTATTAATCGTATATTAAACATTATTTAAAAACAAATTAAAATAAAAATTATATTATAATTAGAAAAAAAAAAAAAACGAATTTAAAAAGGGATGATAATCAATTTTTTTTTTTTTTTAAAACTTATATGTGGGTCAAAGATTTTTCAAGGCCAGTTTTTAATTTATATTTATTTATTTATTTATTTTCAGTCCGCTGTTCGTGACATGGAAAATTGGAAAAGATAGACGATTACGAGGCTGCATAGGCACTTTTAACGCTATGAACCTCCATTCTGGATTACGTGAATATGCTGTTACAAGGTGAGAGAATTAATTCAAGGTGTTCTACCATATGCTGACACACACACACACACACACACACACATAAAACTAATCTTGGTGGAGGTATGATAGTATTAAAAGTGTTCCACGCTGCCTTGTGGTTGATATATCTTATTTTCAGCTATTTCTCAACAACGGATAAATAAGTATATTTGTCAATTTTAAGTTCTAATTTATTTCTTCTCGACATTAAATTATTAATACAAAATTAGAGCTTGAAATTATCATTATTATTCAATTTTATTTTATCATTTAATTAAACATATAAAATTTGTCTTAGAAATTATTATTATTATTATTAATTAAATATTTTCTAAGTCGAATACAATAAAATAAAATTGAATAATAACGAATAAAATTTTTTTTGAAACGAAAATAAGCATCAGTGAAAATCATTAAAATTTCTTGACGATATTAAACGAGAGATTAGCAGTTGGCATTACTGTCGAAAGATTTTTTAAAAATGATTTTTTGCTGTTGCTGTTTGTACTGTTTTTTTGTAATAATGATGATGATGATAATGATTGGATATGAATTATAATAATTAATTGAAAAATGTTGACAAAAGTGCTTTAAAGGATTCGAGATTCAGTCCAATAACGAGGGATGAATTTCCAAAATTATATGTGTCCGTATCGATTCTACGTCATTTCGAAGATGGCGCCGATTATCTCGATTGGGAAGTAGGACTTCACGGCATACGAATCGAGTTTCACAATGAAAAGGGCAATAAAAAAACAGCTACTTATCTACCGGAAGTTGCGACGGAACAGGGTAACGGTTACTACTTTTCAAATGTAATAATACTCTTTGAATGATAAAATTGTTGATGATTTCGTTTTTAATGTTTTAGGTTGGGACCAAATTCAAACGATCGACTCCCTTCTTCGTAAGGGAGGTTTCAAAGGATCCGTTACGCCGGAAATAAGGCGTAATATAAAATTGACGCGGTATCAATCGGAAAAGATAACAGTGAGTTATCAGGATTACGTAAATCAATGGAAAAACAAATCTTGCTAGCAAATATTTTGGGGCTCAGCGGGACCCTCGTGGATACCCTGCGGGCCCCCGACGCCCCAACCGCCAATGATGCCTCGTTTGTATCAGGTGCCTGTCGTTCCTAACATGTTCGTTATAGGACGTCCACAACCTCCTCAACCTCCTACTCCGACGCCGACGCCGATGCTTCGCTATCCATCTTCCATTCCAGTGTGGTGGGATTCGCAACCGGGTCCTTCGTCGCGCGTTGGACGACAATACTCAGGTACAGGCCATTCTAATTATTCGTCGGATAATCATTTCAGAAAGCGTAAATAAATTTACAAGTTTTATTTTTTGTCCTCGGCCTTACTACGAAAAAAACCGCCCCCCAAATCTCTTCCCCCCGGAAAAATTTTTTTTTTTTACTTTTCTTCTCTTCTCGTTACGTCCGAATGAGAATGAAAATTTTCTGTCAAAAATTTATTAGAAATTTAATTAATTGAATAAATCATTTTGTTCGTTTCGAACGCGTAACACAAAAAAAATATTATTATCATTATTATTATTATCATTATTATTATTATTATTATTATTTAGTATTATTAAAATTAAATTTTTAATTTTTATAGTTAATAGAGAGAAAGAGAGAGCGATCCGATATATATATATATAACCCAATGACCTATTTTTTTTTTTTTTTTTTTTTTTCGTTTTAATATTTTTTCAAATTTTAATGGCTGATCGATTAGGGAGGAAAAAAACGCAATTTATTATCATTATTATTATTATTATTATTATTAAAAACGCGCGCGAAAATCAACCGATGATTATTGTTTAAACTTTGAGAAAAAACAAAACAAAACAAATACACATGAGGATGTTGTTTGTCGTTTGAATAGTTTGCTGTGCGTACGACAACCACAACAACAACAACAAACGAAAGACAAACGAGTAATACAATAATAATAATAATAATAATGATAATAATAATAATAATAATCATAACATTTCGTACAAATAATTCAGACGAGTCGAGTTGAAATTTTTCTCATAACGTTTTATACAAAAAAATTTTCCCGTTTTTAATTTTATAATTAATATTACTTACATAATTTTATTATCGCTTATCAATTACTATTATTATCATCATTATTACTTTTTTTTTTTTGGGGAGATTGGGGGGGGGGTTTTCTGTAACGGTTTCTGAAAACAATCTCCTCGCGTTCGCCGTCGGTCGGTTTGCTGCACACTGTTAATTTAATTATTATTATTATTTTTATTTTATTTTATTTTTTATTTTTTACGGTTTGTCGTTAATCGATTATCAATTAATTAATAATAATGATAATAATAATAGTAATATTAATAATAATAAAAAATGGTCGCCCTCCGTTTTAAGGTTTTAAGGTTTAAAAAAAAAAAAAATAATAATAATAATAATGTGTTAGACACAAATAGTAGATAATAATAAGAAAATAATTAATTAAAAGGGGAAAAAGACAAAATAATAATAATTATTTTAATTAATGATATTATTAATAATAATAATAATGATAATTATAATTATAATTAAATCCTGCCACGATGATTCCAAAAAAAAAAGAAAAATTTGCTCATGGAAAAGTTTTTTTTTTTTTTTTTTGCTGTTGGGAAATTTCGATTATGGTTGTTTATATCTCTGACACACAAACACACTGCCATCGATTATTAAAAATAAATAATTAATTATTATTATTATTATTATTATTATTATTATTATTTTAATTTAAAAAAATATGTATTCGCCAAAGAGACTTTTTTTTTTTTTTTTGGAATTTATACGATCATGCGAAAACCTGAAAGCGTTCAGGTTCGTTTTTTTTGTTGTCGGATTTTCCGTTAAATGGAAATCGAATAAATTTTCGTTAAAAAAAAATTCGTTCGGCCTTTTGTTTTCTATCTCTCTCTTGCGCACGTGAATTATTATTATTATAGTGAATAACGTTATTATTATTATTATTATTTTTATTTTTAATAAGAAGAAGGTAATAATTTAACGATTTAAAATAATTTTTAATGTTTCGCTTATGTGAAAAATCAAAAAGAAAGATAGATAGATTGAATTTAAATGAGAGAGAGAGAGAGAGAGATATTTTTTAAAATTTGCGTATATATATATATATATAAATAAGTTTGAAATTTATTTTTTATTAATCACACACACACATACATACATACATAAAATTATTAAATAAATTTATTAAAGTTACTTAATTAATTAATTAATTAATTTTTTTTTATAAACAAAATCATATGGAAAGTACGGAAAAAAAGAAAAAAAGTTTTTTATGTACTTAAATTTTTTTGCGGGCATACAACGTGTAAATTGTTATTAATTAATAGTTTCGTAAATAAATAATTAATAAATAATTAATAATAATTAATAATAATAATAATAATAAATTTTTTTTCGTCTGGAAATCCGATCCGCGTAAAAATTTTCATTTTTTTTTTTTTCATTTTTTTTTGTTGTTGTTGATCTCAACATACAAATTATTATAAATACATATATATATATATTAATATTATTATTATTATCATCATTATTATTTTTTTTATGACTAATAATTGTTTAGATTAATTATAATTTTTAATTATAGATTTTGTGAAAAAAGAAAAAAAAGTTTTGCTTAAATTAAATAAAAAATATCCAATTCGAATTTAAGTTTAATTATTATTATTATTATTATTATTATTATTATTATTATTATTATTATTATTATTATTATTATTGTCATTCATATATATATATATATTTGTATCATTTCGATTATTATTATTATTATGTTTGTTTGAAAATTTTTTTTTTTTTTGTTTTATTATTACTATTACTAATATTACTATTATTATTATTATTATTACTACGTCTGCTATTATTACTATTCTGTTATTATTATTAATTTTAGGTAAAATGATATTTAATTTAAGGGAAATAAAATATAAATAATTATAATAATAATAATAATTTTTTACTGTATCAATTTAATCATGATAAAAAAAAAAAAAAATTCGACAAAAAAAAAGGTTTTTTTTTTTTTTTTTTTTTAAATCACCAAAATAAAGTATTAAATCAATTTATAAAATTTGTTTTTTTTTCTTTTCTTTTTAGCTATAGATATTTATATATACTAATTACAACTACCAACAGGATTTATAACAACACTAATACATTTTTAGGTTTTATCGAACCTCATTCGATAAGGTACGAATGATAAAACGGTTTTTTTCTCCGAACGATTCACTGTAAACATGTTCGACAGAGTAATCGTCATTGAGGTTAATGATATTTTATATATATATGTATAAAAAACTATAATTTATTATTGATTATTTGAACTTTCTGCCATTCTCACAATGTCCATTATATTTTGCAATTCTAAACTTTGCATGTATGGCAAAAAAAGTGCCAACAAAACATGACCTGTAATTATTCCATGAAATTTTAATGCGCCACTTTTAAATATGTTTTTGTAAAATTGAAAAAATCTTTTGTGATCGTTTTTCAACGATGGAATATCCATTGATTTATTTATTATTGCAGACAATGATATTAATATAGTGCCTGTTACCGAAGGATACATGACACCAGTAATAATTTGATATAGAGAATTTCTTAGTTGCAAACATAGTGGACAATCCATTTTCATAACCAATACATTATTTAAAACTCTCTTAAACGAAAAAAAATTAAATTAATTAAGAAATTTTATGTATTTTAATTAATTAATATATTTTTTTACCTTTTCGTAATAATTATTGACGTAATATACTGAGGTCATGCCGGGTATATAAAAAGGAAAAGTTCCACCAACGTATAATTTAATTTTTTTTAATATATGTTTTGTGATAATGAAAGAGCCGAGTGCGGTAAATCCCGCAGCTATGTAATGTCCATTTTTTAAAAAAAAACTGAAATTTAAAAAAAATGAGAATAAGAGACAAATATTTAATTACATAATAATTAATAACCGGGGTTATTATGTTCATATAACGATCTTACACATCAGAACTATATCTCCATTTATTAACGAGATTCGTTTGATGTTTTAAAACTTCTTCTTCGGTCATTTTAACAGCATTTGGAGGAAGATTTTTTTCACCCACAACGGTGTGTATAATCATTTTTTCTTTAATAAAAAAACAATAATAATAATCTAAACAAAACCTAAACTGGTTAAAACGACATCGTCTGCTAACAACCTCCGTTCAATATTTATTTTTCAACCAATGAGAGTCGTTCGGTATGATGTCATTGTAAGATTTTCAACCAATGAGAGCAGAGAAGTCGTTTGCTTTTCAAAATCCTCACAAGTAGATATAAGTCTCGAGAAGCCATTTTAGGAAAGAGATGAAAATATGAATTTTTGTTTTATTTTCGCGGTATTTCGGGGGTTGGTTTTATATTAAAATTGCCTTCTAAATTTTGTGAATAAGTTTTTTTTTTTTTTTGTGCGTGTGTGTATGTTTAATTTCTTATCGTTTTAACCGCCTTAAGTTATTTACGGTTTTTAATGTCTTAATATATATAATATAAAAGAGAGAAAAAAAAAAAAAAAAAAACTTTGCGGACATCAAACTGGGGACTGTGACTACACCCGCTTATTTCCAACCCTTCATCAAAAATATCAACAGCGTTTATCGGGATATTATTATAATGCCTGTTAGGAAACAAGGTGGTAAGATCAAATTACTTGTAGATTTAAGACTAGGGGTAGATATTTAAAAAAAAAAAAATCAAATCTAAATATACCCGTTAAGGGTACGTAAATAATTAACACTAATAGTAGGTTGTGGGTTGTGGTTTTTTATTATTATCATCATCATTATTATTTTATATATATGTATATGAAAAAATAACGAAACGAGTTTTGTACTAATTTTAGAAAATTACCAGTGATAATATTTATAGTTTCCTGGGGAGTCTAAAAATTATTTTTAATTGTTTTTAATGAGCTGGTGAGTAAGTTTTTATTTTTGAATAAGTTATGAACTTTATCGAATTCACAAATTTTTATCATAAAACATTCTATTAACATTTTAATAATGGTGATAATAATAATAAAAACAGAGTACACAGATTGAATTGTAATTAAATACAATAAAATAACAGAAAGAAAAAATTTGAATTGTTTTGTTATTTTTTTTATAATAATTCAATGAGTCGATTTGTGATTTATTTATGAATTATAATTAATACTATTTAATTCGAATAAGTTTGAGATATTAAAATAATTTTTTTTCTCTGTTAACCGAATGTGTTGTGAGGTTTGTTGTTGTTTAACCACAATCCAAAATTTTGTTTTTACAAATTATCATTCGATATACATTTTTAAAAAATTCTTTTTTTACAACAGATTTTCAAAAAAATTTTCTTTCGAAATAAACAATAAAACAGTTTTTTTTTGCTTTTTGGCACAAATGCAATATCATTGAATATATATACACACACACACACACACAATTTTTTTTTTTTTGTAATTTTAATTTTAACCTTTTATTCGCTTACAATTAATAATGTGTTTAAGAAAAAAATTTTTTTAGCTTTCCTCTCTCTCTCTCTCTCTCTCTCTCTCTGCCACCATTTTTACAAATTTTTTTTTTTTTTGTTTTTAACACTTCATGAGTATCATTATCATCTGTTATCATTATTTATTTAAATAACATAAGGGATTCATATTTAAATTTTTTTTAAATTTCATTTTCAATACTTGTTTTAAAAATATTAGGTAAACATGAATGAAAATGAGTTGTAATTAAACACATCCTTGTGAATGTGTGTGTGTGTGTGCAGTTTTTTTGTTTTCTTAACAACAACAACAACAACAACAAACACACAATCAAGTTAACAATGAATAATTATATTTAATATTTGAAATGTGTTATCAAAGTACCTTTAGCTGGTAAAAAAAAACAAAAAAAAAATAATTTTTTTTACTCATCATTGATTCGTTATTTTGTTTGTTTGTTCGTTTGTTTGTTTGTTTATTTATTCAGGACGGGATTTAAAAAAAATTTTTTTGTTGTTGCAATTATTTTAATTTTATTTCGACCGTGTAAAAAAAAAAAAAAAAAAAAATTATATGTATTTATATATAACGTCACGAAAAGCAAAAACCGTGGACGCGTTAAACAAACATAAAAATAAATTTTCTCTCTCTCTCTCTCTCTCTCTCTCCGGTTGTTAGGAAGAAAAAGGTGGCTTTATTCGGGAAAAATTTTATTATTATTATTATTATTATTAAATTCGCGTGTTTTAATGATTAAGAAATTAAAATTTATTTATTTTTTAAACGTTGATATTTATTCAACTGACTGACTGACTGTGTTTGTTACTTTTTTTTTTTTTTTTTTTTTTAAACTCCAAATGGAAGACTAATAAAAAATAAATAAAAAAGCGACTCGGAAATAAAATTCATGCCAGGTCGAAATAATAATGGGGGTGGAATGGGGATGGGGAGAGGGAGTGGGGGAAAAGCGGCAGACATGTTGAAATTATTACAATCGAAGAATATGGTAAAAAGAAAAGGAAAAGTCTTGAAACAGTCTTTAAATTTTTTTTTTTTTATATGTGAATCGCAAAGGAAATTTAATTTGTAAAATGACGTCATTTGTATTTTACTTACAATTTGTTTTCGTACGAATTTTCTAGAAAAAAAAAGAGATAGATAGATAGATAGAAAGAACAACACTAAACAGACTTGTTTCGAAAAAAAAAAAAAAAAAATGTTCGATTTATTTTTCTTTCGAATTTACAAAATCAATAAATCTATATCTACGATTCGATATTGATGTTTTTCTTCTCTTCTCTCTTGTCTTCTGCTTTCGGTGATGGTTACTCTATCGTATCAGACCACACTCTTAGCAAAGAAGAAGAAGAAGAATCATCTACTCTTGAGGTTGTAGCAAGGAAGATGTTCTCATGGGTATGAGTTAAAACTAAAAGTCGATCACTTAGTTCGTAAATATTGTCGAGTGACGTCACAATCATTAAATTAGATGAATGAATGAATGAATGAATGAATGAATGACTGATTGATACCAAAAAATGATGGACGAACGTGACTGGAACACGACAGAATCAGAAGAACCTTTTCTTTTCACCGCAATAAAAGCTCTAACGATGAGCAAAGGATGGAAAGGAAAGAGAATAGTCTAGAAGGTTCGCTTCTATTTTCTATTTTGGTACCCGTTGTTACAAAGTGGTACCCGTCGTTACCGTTTTTTGGTGTTTATAACGTCCATAAACGTTTTCTTGAATAAATTAAGGATGGAATCATGGCAATATTTGGACATACACATAGATGATAGATACAAGACAAAAAGTAAAAAACTATGAAAGTTGCCATCTTCTTTTTCTATTTATTTTGTTCTCTTCGTCTTTTTTTTTTTCATCTTTGATATTATTTATTTATTGATATTGATATTATTTGTTTAAATAAAAAATATACGAATAATAATAATAAATTTATTTTTTTTATTTAAACAATAATTGTTCGATGTAGAAGGAATCGATGTAGAAAAAAAAAAAAAGAAAAGTAAAATAATAAAATAAGATAAAATATATATAAATTAATTTAATAAAAAGAAAGAGAGAGAGGCAGGGAGAGGGAGTGGGGGAGGGGAATGATAATAAACAGACATTGAAATGTAGAGTGAGAGAGAGAGAGACATTTGCTCGAAGGGATACGGAAATACGGAAATCCGGAAAATTCATTTGATTTTAACAAAAGTTTTTCAAATCGAATTCGATTTAACAAAAAAAAAAAAAGAAAAACAAAAACAAAAATTTTTTTTTTTTTTTTTTTTGATGTTGGCACGAGGAAATTTATTATGTTTCCGATTGTTCGATCAAGGTATTCGAATCGTGAAATAATAATAATAATGATAATGATAATATTATCAATCGTCGTGAGAGACCTTTGTGTAACTAAGTCATAAATTCAAATTAAATGACAACGTTTAAAATTCTCTCTAGTGCGTGTGTGTGTGTGTGTGCGTACGTGTGTCTGTGCGTGTGTGCGTGGTGGATATTCTTCTGCTTTTGATATTTTAGAATTTTCCCTTTTTGAACGATATAATAATGAATTCCGTGGAAATCGATAATGACGTGTGAGAATTTTATACGATTCGGATCGATATTTTTTTTTTTTGGGGGGGGGGGAGAGGATCCTTTTGTTGTGACTGACCTTTAACCCCTGAACGACTTTGCTTTTTTTTTTTTTTGTTGATATCGCAAAATTGCATTTGACGTTTGACAATAATATAACGAAAGAGAGAAGAGATGAGAGCGAAAGGTTTGCTTGTTGGGGTTAATTAAAAGTTTTTTTGTTTGTTCGTTCGTTCGTTTGATCATTTCGCATTTTATTCTTTTTTTTTTTGGGGGGAGGAGGGAGGGGAGGGTAAGAGGGCATTTACGAATTTACCCGATTTTTTTCGCCGTGATTAAAAACGATTTTTTTTTTTTTTTCGTTCGGTTAGTCTGCGACTCTAAATGATATCGTTTAAAAATTTTGCGGTTGTTAAATTTTTTTTTTTTTTTTTTTGGTCTTTTCAATTAATTATATCGTTGGGGGGTAGAAAAATTATTAATTATTTTTTTTAAATTTTGCGTCTTTCATCCGTCTAATTAAAACTTAAAAAAAAAAAAAAAAACAATTATTTATTTATTTTTTTCCCCTCCTCCTCCCCCACCCCCTCCTCCTTCTTCTTCTTCAAAACAAAAAAAAAAAAAAAGTCGTAATAAAGTAAAAATTTAATTAATTAAAAAAAAAAAAAAAAAAAAAAAATTGAATTCCTTTCCCTACCCCCCCCTACCCCACATCCTCCCCATCGCCTTCCTCTTTATCCTTCTTCGATTCTTTTAAACTATAATTATTATTGTGGTTTTTTTTTTTTTTAAACGGGGTTTTAAACAAAAAAAAATAAAAAAATAAAAAAAAATTTTTGGGTAAAAAAAATTATTATTATTGTCGTCGTCGTCGTTGTTGTTGTTGTTGTTGTTGTTGTCATTTGCACGAAATCTCATTTCGGAAATAGTAGGGATGGTGGTTGTGGTGGTGGGGGTGGGGAGGAGGCAAATGAAAATGTGGTTTTGTGTTTTGGAGAAGTAAATTTTTGTCAATTTTAAGGCGCGTTACAAAAATAAAAAACAATTTCTATTAAAAAAAAATTAACAACAACAACCCCATTACAACCTGTTGTTTAATTAAATGGCGGCAAACTTATTAAAAAAATTTACTCTTTTTTCTTTTTCTTTTAAAAAAACTAATAATTACGTTTGTTTGTTTGTTTTCAATTCCAAAAATAAAAAAAATCGATTACTTTTTTTTTTTTAAATTATTACTCACGTTATCATACATATTATTATAATCGAACGTTAATATTTTGTCCGTTAATTTTAACCACGAGACCTCTTACTCTCGACAAACGGTTTTATTAAAATACAATGGCGTTTTGTTACATATACCCACACACATGTTGTTGTTGTGCGTGAATATAAATACATATTTACAAAAAGTACTTGTTTGTGTACTAAAAAAAAGTTTTTTTTTTTTAAAAAAAAAATATCGCTTCCGATGAAGGCCAACGCCTTCTAAAAAAAAAAAAAAAAAAAACTTCAAAACCCATCT